CTGAATATCAGTGCAACCTGCTCAAAATTTTCTCTGTGAAAACTACCTCTAAAACTGAGTCAAGCATACATTTTTCTTTTTAACTTTTTTACTTCCCCTCAGATCATGAATGTTTGGCTGCATGGTTTTAGGTTTTATTCAGAGATTTTTAATGATGTTCAAATCTCATCAGTATGCAGTATAACACCTCAAAACCTGGAACTATAGGATTGTATTCATTATTTCATGAAAGAAACAAACAAAACTTAACAACACCAAATAGATATCATACCCATGTAATAATAAACTGCAAACTGACCCTACTGCTGAGGACAAAATTGTGTTCAGTACCATGGACAAGTACTGTCAAAACTGCGCCCATAACAGTGAAAACAACTTACTCAAGAAACATCTTTCATTGCAAAAAAATACAGACCAGTTCCTGCTCCTCTATAATATGATTATTCATTCTGAATACTGATAAATTCTCAAGAAATAACTTGTTGAAATCATCACTATTAAAAAGATGTTGCAAAAAGGGTCAGCATCAGAAAGCATAGGACTATGAAACTGCTTTGCATATATAACTTGTTCCTTATGTTAACTTCTCCCTTCAGTTTGTCACTACCAGAAGAAAGTGAAAACCTAAAAAATCCAGCAACCTTAAAAGCAGACTAAAATCCCCAAAGCTCCTGTCACTCCTTTTTAGCATAACTTGCCCTTACAAGTAATGAAATATTTACAATGCACTATATTTATCTTCATTTTTATATCATGCTGAAGATAAAAGCCCTGTGCAAAAACTGTTGGCATAACACAGACCCATTATCTTTTTCAATATTTTCTATGTCCGTTTCCCAACTAAATTAAATTGCACATAATAAATCAACTTATTCATTATGGTATAATAAAGCATTTTCATTTTGTTAAATTTAAAAATTTTACATGTTTCATAAATCTCAACTTTCCCAATAGGATGTGGCAAAATGCTTGATTAATAAAATGATGAGCTTTTGCTTTAGAAAAGTAAAAAGTTTGACTTTCAACCATAATTATTAAATAACTAGAAAAAAAAACATCTAAGGAATAACAAATTTTCAGTTTCACAGCTCATACTCTACCTCTCAAAATTAGCTTCTTAAATTAGTCAGCCTTCTAAATTCATGTCAGAATTACAGACAAATAGATTTAACAACCTTGTACACAGAATCAGCTTCTACAATAAGATTCCAGTATCAGTAAGAAACTTTAAAAAAATACTATCACCCTTTTCCAGTAAACTTCATTGTGGTCTGACTAATGTCAACAACAGCATTTTTAAATTCCTACTTCTCTGGAAGACTGCATAATGTCATTATAATTATGTTTTAATACATAAACTAGATTTGTCATATAAAAATCTTACATTTTCTCAGATCATTTTCTAGAATCTGTCATGGGTCAGCGTAGCTTGACATGTCATTTACTTGAGACCAAGTTATAGTTACGTAAAATCAAAGGACAGATATCCAGAGTCTTAAATGAAATTAGGAATCATTTTTGTGAAGATTAAGGTATCTATACTTGCTTTATTTCCATGAAAGCAAATCACTCTGCAATATCCAACTCAATATCCAAGTCTACATCAACACATCACTTCAAACAAAATGGCAGATCCACATCCTTTCATGAATGATCAAATTAAAATATTGCACCCTATTACTACTTTAGCAACACTGTAACTTGCCCTGCCAGCAAACATAACACTGTTAGAATTCCAAGGAATAACTCATAGATTTTCCTAAAATATTCCAATTTCACTAACTAAAACAAAATGTCAGAGAAAATAGTAAAGACAGAAAATAGTTTTGGGAATTAATTTTTGTTTGCTTTTTTTTTTTCCAATGTATCTGTAATTTGGAGTTTTAGGTCACTTTAACTTCAGCAACACTTTTAACTCAATTCACCATGTGAAAGACTAAGTGCTAAGTTGTATTCATGACATTCCATGACAAAAACATACCCTCACATTTTCTCTATCAAATTTATTTTTTTAAATTGAGCACTTTTCCTTCTTGCCAACACACTTGTTGAAATGTTGGCTGTAACCAAACACCAGCTGCACTTACCCCAGTGTTGTCATGGTGACAATGGTGTACCAGAAGGCTGCAGGGATGCTGGTGAACTTGCTGGCTGATGAACCTTTCTCTGCATAGTACATGACTGTGGCAAAGATGATGATGGCCATAGTGAGTGAGAAGAGGAGGAAGCCTAACTCTGAGGCACAGCTTTTGAGGGTATAGCCCAGGATACGCAGCCCCTGCGAGTGGCGGGAAAACTTAAAGATCCTGAAGACACGAAAGACTCTTAGTGTCACAAAAGCCCCACTGACATCTTCATTATCTGTCATCACCAGGCCAATGTAATATGGCATGATGGCTACCACATCAATGATACTCATGACACTGCGCACAAATTTGTAGCGACTAGGGGCTGCCAGCAGGCGTAGGAGATACTCAACTGTGAAGATCATGACACAGGCGGTATCCAGACAGAAGAAAGCCACAGCATAGCGCTCTCCACAGGGTAGCTCCTTGATGCGACCCGGGCTTACCCCACAGGGCACTGTTTCCACCACATTGGCAATGACAGAGACAGCAATGAAGAAACCAGTGACATAGTAGAAGACCAGAGCCAGTGTACTGGTGTGGGGATTTTCAAAGGCCCGCCACATCCTCTGCCGAGCTGTCATTGAGGGCAGTGAGCTCTCAGCTGCATGATCCTGATCGGTATCATCCTGCAGGCGCTCAGCATTCTCACGTCGGCGATCCTTGTACTCCTCATAACAGCAGTCGCCAATGATCTCAGGGATGATGCCAAAGAAAGCCAGCTCCTCATCGTAAGCAGAGATGCACTCCTGGCGGGGATAATGAAGCTTCCCAGTACGGTAGAAATTGAGAATGTGGCGGAAAATGTCAGGGTCACGATCAAAAAAGTACTGCTGTGTCTCAGGGTGGTAAAAGAAGTCCCGCTCCGAACTGCCCAACAGAGTGTCAGGGTAGCGCTCTAAGGTGTCCAGCCACGTCTGGAATTGGATACCACTTACATTCAGCACAATCAGAGAGTCCTGGCTTCGCTTCCTCTCCTGCCGTGGAGCAGCTGGCATGGGACCTGTAGCCACTGGCATCCATCCTATGGCTGCTGCCCTGGCAAAGGGCAACCATGCTGCTACTCCTGCTGCCATGGTCCCAAACAGCTACTACAGCTGAAGAAGCAAATTTACAGACAGTTCTGGTCCAGACACTGAAACACAAATGGAAAAGAAAAATAAAAAGCTCACACATTTTCAAGGCAACAGAATTTCCGAACATTGTTGTGATTTGTAGCATTAACTGGGCCACCTTTTGGATTCCTCCTTTTTTTTTTTTTTTTTTTGGTCCCAGAATGTCCTTTCCAGGGGCTGGTTGGACAGTTAGGACAATAAACCAGGGCACTTGGAAAATCAACGTATTCAAAGCAGCTACAACTCTAGCAGCTAGATCCTTGGGATACGAGGTCCATGCGAGGCCCCCGGATGGAAGCAGCAGTCAACGGAGCTCTAAACCCGGGAGCCGCCTGGTAGCCCTGGTGCAGCGGTGCAGCCACCTGGAAGGAGATTCTCCTCCACGCGCGATGCAGCCTCTCCGCCCGCCCCTTCTGCGCTCCCCGCCCGCTGCCGGCCGGGCCGCGGCCGCCAGCGAAGCCCTTCCCGGGAGGGCTGCAGCGGGGTTGCCCGGCGCCGCCGCCCGCTCCCCGTGGGTGGGAGGAGAGGATGGGCCGGGCGGGCCGCCCCCCACGGCCGCAGCCTTGGAGCAGCAGCGGGACGAATCCTCTCGCTGACCTTGATCACCGCCCCGGGGACTCCTCCTGACCCAGGCTAGGGGCCGTGGGAGCCGGCGGGGCAAGGGGAGGAGCTCCGGGCGGCAGCATTAAACTTTAAGGCAAGTTTTCCGTGGAGGAAAGGCGTTGAAGGGCAGAGGGGCGAGGGGGGGAGCGCCTCGGGGCAGAGATCGGGCGGCGTGGAGGGATTCCTCCCCTAACAGGGCGTCGGGGCAGGGAAAGGGTCTGATCCAGAGCGGGGACAGAGGGGCCAGGCAGGGCCGCGGTGGCGAGGGGAGGTGCGGGGGCTTCGGAGCCTCCCGCTGAGGGTAGGATGCTGGGGGACATCCTTGGGAGCTGGCGGCGGAGGGCGAAGCCGGGGAGCCCGGTGCTGGAGCGGCAGCGGGGCAGGGGCTCCCCAGCGCCGGGGGAGGCCAGGGGGGAAGGGGGGGGGGGGGGGCGACGAGGAGGCGGGCGCGGGGCAGGGGCGCGGGGCCCCGGCGCTGCAGGTCGCGGCTTGGTGGGGCCAGATCAATCCCGCCTCTCACCCCTTCCCCTCGCTTCTGCTCTCGCATCCCTCCGGACGTGTCCAGCCTGCGGCACCTACCTGTGAAAGTCTGGCGAGAGCGCTCAGTTGCATAGAGACTTTTGGAAATACGGGCTCCGCCGCTGGATCTCCGCGCCCCTCCGGGAACGGCGGGGAAGTAGTTGCTCCTGAGAAAGCGCGATCGCATCCAAAGGGACATCGATAATAAGGCTTTCCCCCACCCCCACCCCCTCCGCCACCGCCGAGCGCCAAGCAACAAGTTCAAGGGGTGGGTGGGGGGAGAAAAAAAAAAAAAAAAAAAAAAAAAAAAAAAAACGTAATCGCGCCTGGCAACTCGGCGGAGCACGTCCTTTGCGGGGCGCGGATCCTGCGGCGCGGGGCTGCCGTCAGGCGCGGCTGCGGCTGCGGCCGCTGCCCCTGCCCCTGCCGCGGGCTGCGGGCTGCGGGCGGCGGCGGCGAGGCCCTGCCGCGGCCGGGGGCGGGGGGGGGGCTTCCCGCAGCCTCCCCCGCGGCGGGCGGGCCATGCCGCCCTGCCCTGCCGCGCCGCCGCCGCCACCCGCGGGCGAGGGGCGCAGGGGAGGGAGGCGCAGGGGGGCGGTGGAGCGGGGCGCGGGGGAGGAGGGGGAGATAAGGGGGCGTGGGGTGGGGGGGTGAGCATCGCGGAACAAAGGGGCTCTGCTGGCGGCGGGGCTGGAGGGGAGCGCCTGTGTGTGTGTGTGTGTGTCTGTGTGTGTGTGTGTGTCTGTGTGTGTGCGTCTGTGTGTGTGCGTGTCTGTGGCTCTGTCCGTGTGGCTCTGTCCGTGTGGCTCTCTCCGTGCGTGTGTCTCTGCGGGGCCGGGATCGCCCGGTCCAAGCCCTCCGCCGGCAGCGCCGCGCAGAGCCTCTGGAGTTCGCCGTGTTTCGGGTAGGAATCGGTGTTTCGGGTAGGGCGGCGGGGATGGCTTAGGTGAGGTATCTAGAGGATTTCTCGGGCGCGCCAGCTCGTTTCAGGGGAAGGGGAACGATTATTTAGTGAAAGAAAGATTGAAGAGGCGGGTGAAATGCCTGGCGATGCTCCTCACTACCGGAGTTCTCGCTGCAATATCCAAATGCCCCTTACCAGCTTTGGGAAAGGCGAGAGCTGGGACGGCTATGGGAGCCTTTTCCTCCTTCTCTCCGTTCCGCTCTCGTGAAAAGCCATGCCCCCCCCACCTCTTTTTTTTTTTTTTTTTTTTTTTTTTTTTCCGTCGCTAGATGGCGTGTGGATGACGGGAAGCGAATTCCCCGCCGGGGCCGTGTGGGCTCCCCGCGCCGCGCCGCGCCCCGCCGCTCGCCCGCTGGGATGCTGCAGGGCCCCGCCGCCGCCGGCCGCACCGAGCTGACAGCACCGCCGCATCTGCGGGGCAAAATGGGCTCTACGTGCCCTTAGCTGCAATAAATAAAAGGTTTTCTCCGTGTTTTAATTAATTAATTAATTAATTAAGGTACATTCAGTGTCGTCTTCACTGAGATAGAATCAAGATAGCACAAGGTGTTCCTTGTAATTTACGTTTGTTTCCTTGTAGCAGTAGGACAGAAAACGTGCTAAGGAAGCTCAGAGTAAACGTGTTTCATTATACCTGAAGATATTCTGACCAAACCTCCCCCTCTGATAACCTGTCTTGGGCATATGTGAAAGAAATTTGAAACAAAACACAGGAAAAACAAGCAAACAAACAAACAAAACAAACAAACAAAAAAACACAGACGAAATGGTGAAATAAGCCAAGTATATACTGAAGCCTGAGAATTATCTCTTTTCTATATTTTAACAGTATGCATAGCTTCAGTATGCATTAGCTCTTGTGTAAGTTCCCATGGAAAAGAAAAAAGAACACTGTCAGTGCTCTCAAACTCTGTCAGTAGCCTCTAAGCTGTTCCCATCAGAAATATTTGAACTCATGGCATGAAAAGGTTTAAAAATGTTTGAGTGTAATTCCTAATTTAGGAGAACTTATAATGGTGATCAATCACACACATCAAACCACATGAAATGAAATATTGCATAAAATAAGGGATACTTTCTGTAGTTTTACTGCTGTTTCGTTTTTTTTTTTTTAGTCAAATGTTCAGTACACTGTATCATACAAAATAATCCGTTCATTTGAAATCAGTCAGTCAACATGTTGGTATGGAGCTTTCAGTGACTTGGTTATTCTTCTTTCATATGAAAGATTGGGGGTTTTAATTTGGTGATGCAAAAAGACAATCCCATGGCAATTAATAAAGGCCAATTTATGGTCTTGTCAGCACTGAGACAGTAATACAGGGCTTCCTTTTCTGACAAATAATCAGGAGAGGTTTCCTTTTCAGCGACAGAATCTTTTTGAAACCAATGGTTGCTCTTATTTTGCTCAGCTTTATTAAGTTGACTGGTTTTACAGAAAGCAGATAGTGTTTTCAGTTGCTCTTTCTATGCAGTTTTTATAGAATAGGATTCTTCACTTCCAACAAAGGTGTTTACCCCCCTGTACAGATGAGAAGGGGTTCCCTTAAATAATCACTTTGTTTCTTGTTGTAATACTAATGTTGCTTCATAGACTTACCACATTTCATCAGGAAAAATGAGAAGGGAAAAAACAAAACAAAACAAAACCACCAATACAACCAAACAACAAAACGAAATGAAAACCAAACAAAACAACAACAACAAAACACTTAGACAGTGAATATCATGTGGTGTTGCAACACTATGATTGTTTTAAATCAGAGGTTTGAAACCCGTCCAGGTTGAAACTCTTTCCTAATACCACTGACTATTTGGAAAGATGATCACCTCACCTTATTTTTTTGTGGACAATCAGAGAAGCCTCTTTTAGAAATCCTCCTTAGGAAAAGACAAAGACTGTGTAGGTAAGTGTATTCTATTTCCTCTTTATTCTAGCAGAAAGTCCATTAAAATACTACTGACAAGTGCTAAACAGGAAGTGCATACTTTCACAGCTTGTGCCTTGAATTTAGTGCCTTGAAACTGTCTTCAGTATTCATTCCATTTTTTGTATGAAGAAACTAAATTCTGGTACATAAAGTGTACGTAAATAATCAGCTCTTCTGAAGTCAAGATCAGGAAACTGTGACATCACAATTGGCTTTGAAGAGATTGGTGTGATGTGACAGGGAGGATTATGACTTCAAGTAGGAATTAAGTAGCAGGGACTCAAATGAGACAAAAATCCTATTTTGAAGCAAAGAAAATAAATCCTCGTAATTGTAGGAAAAGAAGAAAATGGTACTGAAGGGAATGTAACAATGGACTCTTGTATGAGCTGTTTCTTAATTCTTTACAAAGTCAAGAGGCACAAAGAACTCTCTAAGGATTAAAGAAGATAACAGTTATGAAGCATAAGTTTATATTAGCACATTTATTTTTTCTTTAACATTTTTAGAAGCATTTAGAATATTTGATATGAATTTGCTTTACAGTCTGAATCACATACACCTCTTATTCGTAATTCCTTTAGTATTAAGCTAGTAGTCTTTCCTTTTGAGAAAAGAAGAGTGCAAATATTTAATGTCACCTTTTAAGTCTCAACTTCAAGTTTCAGCATGAACTTTGACTTTTTTTCCTTTCTCTCTAGTCTAGAAGTTAATTTCACAATTCTTTTATACATATGCTAAGATTTTTTGTATATTCAATACAAAACACAGAAAATCATGCAAAGATAACTGTGTTCTCAGTTTATGCTACATTTCCCCTCTAGGATAAGTATAGATAGTATAGATAAAAGGCATGTTTATATACTATTTGGTCAATAAAAGCTGAGTTTTTTTCCTGATTTATAGGAACCACAGTTACTCATTAATATTCAAAATACAGATATTTCTTCCAAGATACACTCTGGTTATTACTAAAAGAAAATTCTACTGATCTTCCTTCTTTACTTCATGGTTGATATAAGGTCTAAGTTCTCATTCTGAACAAAAGAGGCCTGGGCTTTTGGTGTTTATTTCTTTTGATTTCTTTGGTATTTTTTTTTGTTTGTTTGTTTGTTTTAGTTGGTTTTGTTTTGTTTATTTGTTTGTTTGTTTATTCAATTAAGGAACATTCCTGAGACACCTATGTAGAGAAACACTGATATAATGATAGCTAGAGTGCTGATCACTTAGTCCCACTGAAAAAATGGATCACAAGATTAAGAATATCTTTCTCAAGCAGAAGAAAATAATTCATTTTAAAATAGAAGTAAAAAAATGCTTTGGTCAAACATCAAATTAATATGAATATATATAGTGAAAACTCTCTATATATAGTTTCACTGCCTTCATGGATTTGTCTCATCTAAATCTAGCTGGTTTTTGTACTGTGGGCTAGACAGGCAGCTTTTGATATGGGCATAATTTTTCAAAGAAAAAAGCCATCTTGCTAGTAGTTTGCTAAAATAGGCACAGGTCACTCACATGCACAAGTGCATGTGCTCATTGTCCTTCTTTCTATATGGAGAAATGGGTTGCCGTGGACCTGAAAAGTTACTTCTCACTGGCCAAGTGTTAAGATGTACTTTGGGGAAGCATAGAAAATTTCTTTTGAATTCCAAAGTCAAGCTGAGAGTTAGTATAGACATTATTTAAAAAAAAAAAAAAAAAAAAAAAAAAAAGCTCTCTAGAAAAGATTTTTAATGCATTTATTACAGACTTCTTGGATGGAAGAGAAAGGCAGAGCTATCGTCATTGTGATTTCTCTTTTGCTTAAGGTGAAGTTAAGTGAGTACTTAGAATGATCTCAAGACCTTACAGATTTCAGAAGCGTCTGACTTGATCTCAAAGATTTTTGCTTAATCCTCTCTAAACCAACAATTAACAATTTACTGATTGTATATGTTTTTCTTGATGTGCAGGGCATTATATAAAAAATTAATTCTACTAAAGTATGTATTAGTCACGTTAAGCACTGAAAATTCCTCTGGAAATTAGTGATATTTTACCCACTAGTGAAATGATAAATAAACATTTTTAAACATTACATAAATACATATTTCTTATTTTAAATTCATATTTTGACTCACATACTATCTTTAAAGGGATAGTTGTTTCAGCTATATAATGAGGCCCAATTTCTACCAATTTAGCTTAAGGCACCTGTGATACCTAATTTACTTTAACTTCGTAATTTGATGGTCTGGAGGAACAGCTCCTGAGAGTAATTTATCCTATTTACAGTCTGAGTATATGCAGGAGTATATCTGAGTGTATAGTCAAATCCATTGACTATAAAAGGCAGACTTCAATGACTGTGGTCCTTAACTTAGGAGTCTTAGTAAGGTACTTTAAGTTAGGATAAGCCTGACAATGACAGCTACAGCTGGTCTGCTAAGTCAATGGAAAAATGATCCTGGACTTTAAATGTCCAGTGAATTAATGCAGAAAACTAATTACCCTTTAAGTTCATATTTCTGGCTGCATCGAAGCACTTTGGGAAGTATTTAAAAAGCATTTCCTTACCAAGTCTATTTTGTCCCCAAAGCCACATTTCTAATCATGTGTAGAGTCTCTAGTATCATCAGATGTCTTTCACTTTCCAAGCACCTAAAAAAAAACAAACAAACACAAACATAAAACAGGTAAGAAGCCCTCTTGGAAGAATGTACACATGGATTAGAAACATTATCTCTTCATACGAAGTGAGAGGTACTGATTAAGCACTTGGTTCTGACAAATCTATGCATCAGTTCATAACAATGTGCTATTTTAAAGTTGCAAAATTTGATATTTTTATTTGCCCTGTTTCTGTGCCCAGATTCTCTAAAATATGTCTCATAATTTGCTTGAGCCATTGGGTAAAATATATGTCAGACATGATTTAACTTCTATGCTGTGTCTCAAAGAGCAATGCATATAGAAGTCATAATGCAACAGACAGAAAATATCTGCAGAATTCATAGTCTATATTTCAGTTATAACCATTCCTTCATGTGTTCCTTCTATATTTAGAAGAAAGCTTGGCTAAACAGAACAAAATGGTTTGAAACACAATAAAATAAATAAATAAATAAATAAATAAATAAATAAATAAATAAGGAGTTTAGTTAAGGTCCTGAATCATACCTTGGACCTTAAGTTCTTCAGCTTTAAAGAACTGAAAAAGGTAAATAAGAAGGGAATCTCACTCTTGTCAGGAAAGGAGCTTGTCTGGAAATATGATTTTCAAAGACGGTTGCAAAATTGCACAACAAAACTAATCCACAGGGAGTAATACTGAAAGGGACATGGTCAGTCTGTGGTCCAGTATAACCATGCATAACACAGACTCCACCAGGGTGGCTACAGAGAATTGGACGACACAAATGTGCACAATCTTGGAAAGCCTGAACCTTTCCAATTTCAAATCAGGTTACTTCATTCCTTTAAAAGAGTATATAGATAAAAAAAAAAAAAAAAAAAAAAAAAAAAGACAAGGTAAAATGTTAGTTTACAATTCAGTAGCTTCCAGATTCATATTCTTCCAGAATATGAAGAACTCCACAGAATAACATTCATCCTCTTCTCTTAAGCTCCTTACTTCAGGCTATCTAAAACCCTAATATCCTTATCTATCTACTTATGAAAGTCATCTGCTCAGCGGAATTACAAAATCTTTGCTCAGTGGAATAATGAAATCTTTGCTCAGTTGGGGTGATATCTGATAGAATAGATACATAATGTTAGCTGAAGAAAATAAGAAAAGGTTTGTATCCTTTATATTTGGTGCTGCTTTAATTAACATGGGCGATATAGCTAAAGATTTTGAAATTGTGGTGAACTGGTAGAAAATATAGATGAACAAATCAAATTGGATAAAATGAATGCTTTTATTTTTCAGGAGTTCCCATATTGATTTTTCATACCTAAGTCTTTGTAATGGACTTTGGCAATTTTTTGAGATCTATATATAAATAAAAAATATGATGCTTTATATTATAAATATATATATATATGTGTGTATTTTTCATTAGCAGACCTTTCTCTGCAGATATCTATTCTAATAGATAACAGATTGTATGGTAATATGATTTATCATCCAAAATAAAATAAAAAGTAGTGATTTTTTTTTTTGACTTCACAGCTTTTGACTTCTTTTTGTTTTGTTTTGTTTTAATTTTCACTCTATAACATACTCATAGCATGGCAATCTTTCAAGATTTATACAAATTTTATAATTTTAGATGCAGTCCTTTTTCTCTGTATTCCAGGAAATGTAGGGTTTGGATGTCAGCCACCTTCCTCTGTTCCTGCAAAAGCTTCACAACGATCAGTGGCTCCTTGCCTAATTAGTCCCATCTCTCTTATATTGCAAATCCTTTCTAAACTGCTTTGTTACTAGATTGGTCCTGCTATTTAGTACCTTATGTAGAGGATACACAAAGAGGGGTAGTACAGCTTTGTCTGAGAGCAACTGAATTGTATTCTACCCAATTTCAATAAATGGTTTCTGTTCTAGCAAAGCTTCCACCATTTTAAATCTCAGCAGCTTTACAGGAATCCTATATGAAAGAGATGAATATGTGCAAGAATATAGTTAGTAGAAACAATGTGTCATTCACTGGCACAAATGATTATAGAACATTTTTCAGAAGTTAGTAGATTGAATAAAGATATTATCTTGCATTAAAAATTACTTCCTTTGTCCATCCAGCTCTTAGCAGAGTGGACACTGGCATGGAGCTGGTAACTCTTCAAACTTGGGAATATCTGGAGAGATGCCTGAAGGGGCACTTTTTATGCCAGTAATTGCTAATAGCCCCTGTACCACAGTTCAGAGCAGGAAATATAAAACTCCTTTCATGTTAATGATTGCTTTATAATTGCATAAACTGCAATGAGAAAGCAGTCCTTTATAGAAAGAAACTTCTCCAGCTTAGGAAGGAGATAAAATGTTTGTGGCTGTCCACATGGACATGTCCACATGGCTGCAGTGACTGTTGAATCCAAACTTCCAATAGGAAGAAAGCATGAAATAGAATGTTGAAGAGTCTTTCTACTAAAGTGAAACATTACCCAGATGACTGTTCGCACGAACTTAATTAAAAAATGGTAAACATAAATAAATAAATAAATAAATAAAGCTAGCCTTTTTTCATTACGGCTAAGACCAGTTTTCTTCCTGTGTAAATTAATGAGGGTGTAAGGCTAAGTTAACAAGTCCTGAGAAATTTGTGAATTAGACTAGATGCTGAGGTATCCGTACTAACAACCATAAAATCAAGAAGTTACAGTTGAAAATCACATAAAATTTATCAGTCTTTATGATTTATATGCATCCAAAAAATATTAGTCATAGAATCATAGAATATCCCAAGTTGGAAGGGACCCACAAGGATCAAGACCAACGCCTGCCTCCACACAGGTCTACCCAAAAATCAGATTTCAGACTATATGACTAAGTGCACAGTCCAAATGCTTCTTAAATTCCGACAGGCTTGATGCTGTGACTATGTCCCTAGGGAGCCTGTTCCATTGGCTGACCACCCTCTTGGTGAAGAACCTTTTCTTGTATTCCATCCTGAACCTCTGTCATGTCTTGGCTCCATTCTCTTGGCTCATATTGCTGGTCAACAGAGAAAATAGATCGGTGCCTGTCCCCCTGTTTCCCCTTGTGAGGAAGCTATAGACCATGATGAACCCTCCGCCTCCTCTTTTCCAGGCTGAACAAACCAAATGACCTGAGCTGTTTCACTTATGTCTTCCACTTTACCCACTTCGGCATCTTTGTAGCTCTTTGGACACTCTCCAATAGTTTCATGTCCTTTTTGTACTGCAGTGCCCAAAACTGCACACAGTAGTCAAGGTGAGGTTGCACCAATGCAGAGTAGACACAGAGACAAACTAGACTTACTCATTATTTAACTTCTTCAGAAAGTTAAACAAATGTTTTCTTGATAGAAGAAAAAATGTTCACCTCAGTGATAATTTTCAGCATAAATTATTCTGTCACAAATTATGCAGCTAAGACAACAGAGGGCTTGCAAAAAATTATTGTCATCCAAGCTAAAAGTATGTTTCAATAATATCCTTCTTGCTTCATAAGGAGACTGTACTTTTGTTTACCAATTAAGAACATTATTTTGTTGTTCATAAATCAATAGCAAGAAAATATCTAACTTGAATTACAACTTGAAGCAAGGAAAAAAATCATCACAATATTAGATCTTTAGTTTCCTTCTAGTAGTGTATGTAGCATTACACAGTCATTGGAAAGAACTGCTATGCAATATAACATAAAACAACCTCAAGACCATAGCAATTATAGTCTAGATATTTGATGTACACCATATGAATTAAAAAGAAATACAAACAAAAAAAAACAAAACCAAAAAACCACACTGTTAAATCTAATTCACATTACGGTAATAGAAAGCAGAAGGATGAAACACTAGGCAGCAGGAATATTTATCTGGAGAGATCTTATAGAAGCCTTTCAGTACTTCCAGAAAGATGGTGAAGGACTCTTTGCCAGACAGTGTAGCAATAAGACAAGGGGTAATTGTTTTAAACCAAAAGAGGGGAGGTTTAGATATTAGGAGGTAATTCTTCCCTCAGAGGGTGGTGAGACACTGGAACAAGTTGTCCAGAGAAGCTGTGGATGCCTCATTCCTGGAAATGTTTAAGGCCAGGTTGGGTGGGTCTTTGAGCAACCTGGTCTAGTGGAGGGTGTCCCTGCCCATGGTAGGGTTGGAATTAAATGATCCTTAAGGTACTTTTTAACACAAACTATTCTCTGATTCTCTGCATCTGTAAATAGAGCTCTGTTAAAAGAAACAACAGGAAGTAATTTTTATAGCTCAAGGTTCCAGAATCAGTGCCATGGCTTAAAGTCTGTTTGTTGCTTCTTTCCTTCTTCTCTCTTTGCCTCAGCCTCAGCAAATCAATCATGTAAGTCACAATTAGTTTGGTCATCCAATTTTATTTGTCATGCTGAATGGAAGTGTTGTCTAGATGGAACATCAACTTTTCCATACCCATGCTGTACCCCTCTAATTAATCCCCCAATTCTAGCATCTAGAACAGAATTAGAACAGAAGATAATATATATATAAGATAACACGGACACCTTTTTTTTTTTTTTGAGTATTTCTGTGTGCAGCATAACTGATGATGTCTGCTTTCCCTCCTGTCTCTGACATCTAAGAAAGGGTGATCTCATTAGCCTCTTCCAGAAGGATTAATAATAGAGTGTCTTTTCTCCATCCACTTGCCAGTTCTCATAAAATTATAAAAACTGCTCATCTTTAGGCTCTTTACCCCTCTGAAATAGTGTTCCAGAATTACTGTGAGTTTGACAGACAGACTGACATGGGAAATGATTGCATTCACTCAATTACTTAGAAATTTACTCAATTACCTAGAAAACCAGGCTACAAATTGCCACCTCTCCTTATTTTGACATGCTAATTCAGAGAGATTCTAGCCAACTTACTGTAGAAAAAAGAGATCTGGACATACACAGAATAGCAGAAGGGTTGTTCTTGCCTGGTTGCCATGCCCCTGATTTGCAACCTAGGATTAAAATTAAGAATGAAAATCTGTAGTAAATCCTTCTGCAGTTTTTCCACAGCTACTAACGCGTGCGCGCACACACACACACACACCAAAAACAAAACAAAACAAAACAAAACAGAAAAAAAAAAGTAGCCATCTGATCAAGGTACTACTAACCAGAGCTGTCAGCAGCTGCTCTGGAACAATAGCTCTTTGGTGGCATATCCTGTTTAGACCCTATTCAGTGTCTAACACGTTTTAGCCTGTGGGGATCTCAGGAAAAATAATACAAAATAGACTTGTTTAGGCACATGTATATATGTTTAAAAGAACATTAATGGAGGTTTAAAAGAAAATTATAGAATCATAGAAACATTAAGACTGGAAAAGACCCCAAAGATTATCTGGTCTAAATATTCCCCTACCACCAGTGGGTGATGACCCACAAAACTATGTCCCTAAACACCTTGTCCAACCTTTTGTTAAACACCTCCAGGGATGTTTAACTCCACCACCTCCCTGGGCAACCTGTTCCAATGCCTGACTACTCTTTCTAAAAAGAAATGTCTCCCAGTTTCCAACCTAAACCTCCACTGGAGCAACTTGAGGCCATTCAGGTTATTCATTATCACAATAATACTAAAAAGAGGAGAGTAGTTATCAGTCTCACTGGGAAAAAAAAAAAAAAAAGACCCTTAACTTGTAAAGGACCTGTTAATTTTTGTGGCATGGCCAGAAAGTCAGAAAGTCATCTACTAAGGGATGCTAAGGAAGTGAACCTTTGCATGACAACTGTGTAATATGCTTAAACATTAGTAAAAACCTATGCCTACAGGAACCTCTTAATTCATGCAAATTTTTATATAATAGGGATTTTTCTGGCTTTTCTCAATCTGGCAGAGGCAGACATGTAACAATTTCAGGTGAGCATTAAAAAGAGATTACAAAAGAGAAATTGACAAACAAGGTAATAACCATATTTTCCCCTATTTTCCAGTATATAAGAATTAAATATACTTATGTTGTTAATATTGTCATGACAACTAACTATCTATAGATTTTTATTTTGCATTATATTGTTGCTTTATGTTGTCACTGCATGTGACTGTTAAATAAAATTTTAGTGAACTTCATGAACTTTGGTTAGGGATAAAGCTCAATATTCCCAGGATAAAAGCTATCCCTGATCTCTGTAACTTAGAGAACTGAGAGAACAGAAGTTTTGAGAAAAATTTTTTCTAGTCTATGAAAATTTCTATTCTATTTATTATTTATTATTTATTATTTATTCTGTGAAAATATTCAAGACACTCCGCAGTATGTTCTTTCCTATTTCTTCCTGCCGTATTATTTTATGGTTGAAGCCCTGGGCCAATTTTTCATATTTTTCAAGTGTTATATTTTCAGTGACATTTTGTAAATGTTTAAGTGCATTCAGACCCTGAAGACTAGAGAAAAAATGAGACAGCTCTAAATATGCTAACAATTCAAACTCATTGCAGGGAATTAGGAACCTAATTCTGAGCTAGCGATGTACACTTCCTAAAAAGTACTGTGCTCCTGGTTAAATTAATGACACCTAAGAATGCTGAACACCTCACAAGAATAAGTTCTTATTTACCACCCATGAAAATGCTAGAATGGGTCATAATTATTAAAGTAAATCCCTTGTTTGTCATTCCTATTAACCTTAGTACCATCAGGCAAAGGTCCAGTTTGAATTATCTGTGTTTCCTTATGCTGCCACATGGGTAAAATTACAGCTCTGAGTGCAACTGCCTAAGTGTAAATGGATTTTCTTAGTCAGCATCAAGATGTATTGATCCATAATAAACTGTATAAATAATAGATGTTAATGTTTCAGTCATTGAATTAATGTAACACCAGACAAAATATTTCTTTTTAACTAATATTTATATAAAGTATTAAAAGAGCTAAACAAAGGATAAAATATCTGACATTTTAATATTTGAAATGCAATAAAAACAATCCAAATTTATAATTACAGAAAAAAAAAGATTGTTAAACAAATTAATAATAGCAAACTTACTAGAATTAATTTACCATATGTGAAAATTCACAATGAGCAGAATTCATATTCTGTATGCAATATTAGAAAAATTCAGCAAGGATTGATTTTACTGTTGCAAGCCAATTCACTCCAGCTTTATACTGACTGATTTTTAGTCTGATTAAATACACTGAAGCAAACAGATTTACTTAGATTTAAACTTTTGAAACTGGAAGAAGAATTTTAATGCCTACACTTTTGTTGGAGTATCATGAAAAATTGTAATTTCAAAAGTGGAAGTTTATTATCATTTATGCCACTGAAGAAATCTTGTTACTATGAAAGAAACGCTTTTTCTACTATAAATAATTTCCTTTAGTCTTGTCTTTACTAAAAATAACAAAGGGCAGTAAGGATTTTTTTTTTTTTTCGCCCCAAGATATAAAAGCAGAACAAAATTGTGCCTTTTCTTTCCTCTGAATTCATAATCTTCTGTTATTTTTCCTCACATACAAAATCCCTAAATATAGTGTTTGGGTAAATGCACTCAACCTTCCAGCAAATAACAAAACACAATGTTATATTTGAAAAAGATATATTTTGCCATTTGCTTTGGTGAAATGTAAATATCATGACGGTAAGAAAAGTAGAAATGACATAAGGAAAAAGTTGTACATGCATACAATCATACAAAAGTAAGAAAATTCCATGTTTGTGTCATTTTAATTTTGATCTAAGAAAGTTTTCTGTAGCTTAGTGCATATTTCATGTTAAAAAAATAAAGATAAGTTACTTCTATTTCTTTCTGATTTTCTTTGTTTTGTTTGTTTGTTTGGTTGCTTTGGTTTGTATTGTATATGTAGTTGACACGTTGGTAGTTTTTCAAATAAAGGAATTTATGGTTGCTAGTAGAACTTGAATTATATATATATTTTTCTCCTCTTCACTGGCTGACCACAGAAACCGAAAACAAACTGTTGTATGTTGAGCCAAAGCTAAAATTCATGGATTGCAGTACTGAAATAAAATAATGAAAACCAATTATTATTATTAATTTTTTAAATTGTATTATAAATTGCATTTGCATTAATTTGTAGATTTTCCTGTTTTGGGTACTTAACAAAGCAAAATGTCATTTCAAAACAATAAAAGTATGTCACCTAGAAGTGTCAAAGCTGTTTCAGCTTTCTCTTTTCAGCCAGAATTATTAAATGCTCTTGAACTAAAAGCACTTACAGATTTTCTCTTTGAAAAACTATTTGCAGAAGAAAAAAAGGTAATGAAACCCAGATTTACTACATAAAGTAGATTTTTCAGAACATGTTATTAATTACCTTAATCTGTGATATAGGTTTCTCTGACAAAATTTACAGTTACAACCTCTTTTTTTTTTTCTTTCTTTTTTTTTTTTTGAGCCTGTAGTGACTGCTAGTGTAGCATTTCATATACCTGTGAGTACCATGAGCTCAGGGTTTTGAGTGGGCATGGAAATACAGAGTTCTGACTGAAAGACAAAAGCCTGATTTTATAATTCATGATTTTTCAGGTGAAGACCCATCCATAAACATGACCATGACCATAGTGTGTATTGTCTTAAGAAAGGGACCTGCAGGCTATGTCAACTGGGAAAACCAAAGCTATTCAAAGCAAGATGTGCATTCTTAACTTGCAGCTTTATGCCATATTGATAAGTTAAGTCTATAATTATGAAGACTAGCATTTTTTTAGGCATTGATCCTCACAATAATCTTTACTTTTTTAACATTATACTCTTGAACAAGTGTTTTAACTTTGAAGAGCCATCCTGCATATCTACATCAATTTCAGAATGGGTATGTGAAAACTTACTTGTGTCTTGGATGTTGTTTACTTCTATTTTTATACCATTTTTGTCTGCTTGTTTGTTTGTTTCATATTTTACAATACATCTAATATATACACTAACCTAATAAGGTTTATGATTATACTCCTGTTACTCTTATTCCTTGACATAAAATCTTTCTCCTACTGTGTAAGTAAGATTAATTTGTAATTTTACATGCTCACTTACATCTCCCACAGTGATCGAAATAGTCTAGATATGTAGAGTCAACTACAATTTGAGCCTAAATTGTAAAAATTGAACACATTTGTCCATATGCTGCTTCCTCCGGCTCATGCCAGTATCTAGCAGAAAAAAAGTACCTTACTTTATTGTTCGGAAAAAGTAGTAAGGCAGAAAAAGCCGGTTTACTAGTATAGATTGTAAAGAGCAGTTTTAATTACTAGTGGCAATATGAAATTCTAATAATATTTAGCACTGTGTATTGTGCATGCATGACTTGGTCAATGAAACTATGTATTTGAAGTGTACAAATATTACAAATTCAACAAGCCAAGTAATCAAAAGAGTAATTATTGGGATGACATATGCCTCTTTGATGACACTGTAAGGTTATAATGAATACTGTTAGGAATATCAAGTATTACTCACTAAAGAGCCAGCCCCAGGTAGGAACTGAAGAGAGATGCAGATTCTCTTTAAAGGCACATTGAAAGGTAGGATGCATTTCTCCTAAATTAAACCATCTAAATATCAAGGATTTATCTAAGATAGTATTCTAAACTTTATTTGTTGCCAATAGAGATGATCAAGCAATTGTATCTCATCTTTACTTACAATGTCTTTCAGTATATTCCTCTTTCCTCTTAATATTTGTGATAATTTTACATAAAAGGATAATTTAGGAAAACATTTCAGGAGATTTTAATAAGCTTATAAATCTGTTTGGCATTAATGGTGGTTCTGTGAGAGCAGGAAATCTTTGAAATATTCCTTACTGTGTACAAAAGGTCATGGATTTTAAAGTAAAATATAGCCTCAGGACTGAAGTCATCTACCTTTGTAAAGCTGTTTATATTGTGTGTCCTAAGTCAACATTCCTTCGAGGTCATGTAATAGATGTTTAGACAATCATATAGTGTTGCATGAAACTTCTGTTCATTTAACACAGGATAGGAAAGAGAAACTGCAATTGACTTTGATGGGACTAAATCATAAATCTACTCCTTTTTGTTCCAGAAGTCAATGTGTAAAAGTCATATGAGAGACTCAGATGCAGAATCTCATATATAATTTCAATCCCTCATCCTGTGCTGTAGGTTGCAGATCTGGAAATTATAACATGTAAAAACTTCTAAAAGTAGATTCATTTTTCATTACTTTTAAATCCAATACTGTTAAGAGTAATCATTTTACTGAGTTATTTTGGCATACCCTATGTGAGAACTAAATGAATTGCAAATTG